TCTCTGCATGGACTGGAAAACTGAACCACTGCATATCTGCCATTAGTCATCCAGTCTGGATCCTGAGAGCTGAGCTTCTCGGCCTGGCCTGGCTTTAAGCCCACCTGAACATCAGCCTTCAGTGTCCTGAGACTGCAGAGAGGGGCAGGCTGGAACCCCCTCAGCGCTTGATCAAACGGAACCGTGTGCTCCCATTTCCTATCTCCAGTAAGCTTCCGGTAGTTAAGATCTCCTTTGAAGAGAATCAGATCAGAGCCCTGGAGAGTGCTGTAGAGATCAGCTGCATCCATCGCCATGTCACAGAACTCATGGGGCAAGGTCCAAAAAAAGTGGTCATGGTAAGACCATGTACCCTCCTTCATGAAATGCTTCCATTGGACACCGCTGGCTGACATCCACTTGTGATTGGCTGCCATGGTCTGCATGATGGTCCACTCAAAGTCTTGTTTAGTGACGTCTGAGACAAACCACGGGATGGACTTGCCATGAAATCGGATTTGCTTGGCTAGTCCGGCAGAAACAAGAAAGTCAGCAAGGACTAGATCGGTAACGAGCTCAAAACCAGCATTGTCTAAAATAATGTCCACTCTGGCATGCTTCATCCCAGAGGATCCGGCTCCTTGAGCAGCAACCAGCGTTGACCAAACCATGCTGGAGTCATCCACTATGATGAAGCGCTGGAAATCAGGAAGAGAATCGATGGGACTGGACTTTTGAGAGTTGTCCTGACCGGCAGAGATGGACAGATCACACTTGTTTCCCCACAGAGAGACCTTCAAAACACACAGTAAACCAGATTATGTGGCATTATGCTATCACCAACTGTGTAATATCAATAAAGTACACAAGCGCATGCTGAAAACAGTAGCCACCCCTAGGCATGTTACTTGGCACCACAAACTGGATGTCATTCGGGTAACAAGATTCTCTGATCTAAATTAAAGATGTGACTCTTTAAGCTTATGGCTCACTGAATTCACTTAGAATCTTCCATCTCCATGTAAACAAGATGATTTTCCTAGTTTTTGATGTTGTGTTCTGATGTCATATAAACATAATGTCCCAATAACAATTGTTTTTAATGGAAGGGATCATTATACGCTGCAGCTAGGATCACGGAGACACTAACCTGGAGTAACTTGAGAAAGTTGTCTCGCAGCTGAATCTCAGTCATGTTCTCCATGTTAGTGATGAGCTCCTGAAGGTATGTACAGAGGGTTTTAATGGCTTGTTGAGATTCAAAGAAGCTTTGCGTCTTTCCCTCCTTAAACACGTCAAACTTATCCATCGGTGGACTTTGGAAACAAAATGAAACAAGTCAGTTAAACAATTCAAAATGTACCAATGCAACATGGAGAGTACAATTAATCTTGGTTAATTATTAAATCACTATTATTGATTATAAAAATACTTAAAGCACATTTAAGATAGCGCTTTAAATGACCATCAGTGCCTTTAATTTACAACGGCTCTAAAAATGATGTAAACTATTTCATCAATTGCAACACTATAGCATTTCTAAGGCAAGCCATACCTTTAAATTCATTTAGACCTGTACATATTTCAGTGGTCTTCCTGTTATAAATCTGTCCTCTTATTAAAATAACTTTCTTTCTTATTGCAGATTTTACCCATTAATTTAACTTGTTTTAAATACCTAATTAATACCATTTTAATTGTAAATTAATGTATGCCATATGACCATGTGTCCATTTGAAGACTAAGATGACTACTTATTTAATGATTGAGTATATCATTAATAAATTATATAGAAAAAAAGTTTATTTTTTACTATTAAATGATGAAGTTCAATTCAACTTTACGATATTTTTACTTTTAATTAAATTGTGTAAACTGTGAAAATAATCACAGTAATAATTTCACTGAATTTTTGATTGCTCAATGTATGGTCGTAAGCTGATTTGCCTTACTTCATATACAGAGCCTCTTGGATCCTCCGGTACATGTAACACTCCACATAGAGCCATGGTGACTTGAACCAGCTGACAGGCCTCCCGTCTTCCATCAGGTCCTGCTGTCTTCGCATGTATTCATTCCAGGCCTCTGAGTCCTCAGCATTATCAGTCAGAGACAGCACAGGTTTGTCTGTCTGCAGTTCATTCCTCAGCTTGGACAGGAAGGAGATGGCCGTCTTCTCTGCCTGGATCCCCTCCTGATAAAACACATTGTATAGAAGTTAAATCTGGGAAAACAAGTACAGGCAGGCTGTTTTATTTTATGAATAACATGAAACTATAACACTGCTAAATGTAAAAAAGCAAAGATCATATATACCTTTCCATATTCTTTGAAGAAATTGTCTTTATTGCGGTGTAACGTGTCTATCACTTTTGTGAGTATGGTTGGGAATCTGTCTCTCACAGTAAGATAGGCAAAGGACCTAGAAATGGGGAATATTAAACATTTTAGATGTAAATTGTGTGATTCATAAAAACAGGTTTCACTAGCACTAGTAACTTGAGGAATAAGTCAATAAATAAAGTCCAATACTAGGTGATAATAATGGCTGGTTATGTCAGTGTCATTACATCCACATCCAGCAGCGGCATGGCCATTGAAATGAATGTCTCAAAAGCTGGTTTGTCAACTACAGACTGCATTTCTAGGCAGGCATTATATGCGAGTTTCGACAGTGCATGACTTGAAACTGCCAATGTTGCAAATAAATGCCGTTAAGGCAGGCATACCAATGGGTTGTTTTGAAACACAGCCATTGACAAGATTGTAAGACCTGCCTATTTGACTAAATGCAGCATTCATTCGTTATAACCGAACAACATGTAAACAGACGATACATTTCGTGCCGTAGCCTATTTTCATATAAACGACGTCAACGGTGAAGCATCAAATCATATCTATGATCATAAAGACATACCCCTCAAACTCAGCAGAGAGTGACAGCGGGGCCAACATTCCCTCTGCCTCCATCTTTGCAAACAGGAAGAACTAGAAGAAGGGATTTTCAACAAACTTTATTTGAGAGCGATCGGTGACCAATTCACAAGGTAATGTGAAGGTATAAAATAGTTTAATACACTCTGTGTCCTTTTCTCGCATATCGTGGGAACGCCTACAAATCACACACATTAGCATGTTATTTGTTGTCGTTTTACTAGTCTTATGAGGAATCATTGGCCAACTTTAGCTGTCGATGTCGCTTTATCGTTGACACTACTGTCCTCTAGTGGCCATGCGAAGAAACGCCGGTCTATGAGCCATGTTGTCCATACACAAACACACTATCAGACATGTGACAATATTCAGATAGTGTTTGTTCAAATTAGCCTGGCATTCAAAGCTGCATTTTATATTTAATTGAACATCGATTCAATTTGAACTAGCCTGCACTAGTGAAAAGAAAACATCTTTACCAGATGGTTTATAGCTGGACTCAGCCTGGTCTGTTGGCTGATTTTAGAGCATTTTTGGGCACTTTTCAGCTAATCAAGCTGGATGACCAGCCGGCCACACAGCTAAACAATAGCTTATCCAGAAAAGACCAGAGAGAATCAGCTTAGTATTAGTATTTATATTTTAAACTATACCTATAGTACTATCTCAGGATGACCTTTTCCTGGACCTCCATAAGGATCTAAGGGGCTGTTACTGAATTACTGTCATTGACTTAAAAAAGATAAGTCAGGTTTGTTTTATATCTGTATGTATTGAAAATATTGCTTGCTTGATATGGATACTATACTAATTTCTAAACCAGTAACATTTTACTATTCTGTCTACAGACAGCAGCAGCAATTCTGACTAAACCATATTTAATGATGCTAATGTGATTTTCGGAAATTGGAAACAGAAACCATAGTCCCAGATGCCTTTATCTCCCCACCAGACCCACATGGCCCTAACACACAGCTTACTCTCTGTATGGAGACACCACCCCCCAACTTCCCTTTCCTTGTTCTTTTTTTTGCAAACCCGAAGCTGGCATCCTCATTTTGCATTGTTAAACTTCCAGGCTGTTGTAGACTAGTCTTAATATATTTTCTTGGCATTTTCTTACAATTCTTGTATGTATTAGTTCATTTTATTACCCCGTGTTATTCATTTCCTGATATCTCTAGCAGGCCTGGTCAAGCCAGCTCACAACCTGTTCTCCTTAGTGTAGTGAAAGCTTAGAAACTATGGACACAAGCCAAGTAAAAAGGAAAATATTATTATTATTTTAAACCATGTCCAGCTTCACTTGAATTGTTCAGAATGGAACCAATGCAATGATTTTCACAGTCTAATGATTCTTAAAAAAGATTTTAGGGAAATGTAATTCCTTTTACAACAAAATGTAGCTATTCAAAGGCTAAATGCATTTAAATCACTATAACTAAAATATAGCTAATGAAAAAAAAAACATGGAAAATGCCCTATCAAAGGTAAGGATGATCCTAGTAGTTACTTTTAATTCACATTAAAATAAATTAATTGATTACTGAGAACATAAAAAAGGATAGTTGTTCTGGGACTAAAAGGAAATGTTTTTATTCGGCATATTTATAATTGATTTTATTGTGGTATAAAGATTTAAAACAAGTATCTTTTTTTATCTTTTAAAGACTTCAGTGAAAGTGAAAAAATAAATAAAATAAAATACCAAAATAAATGTTTAATAACATTTGTTGCAAATACAGAAAAACACAGAAAAACTTAACCTGCAAATATTTAATTTCTAAATAAAAAACCCAGCCCAGTCAGTCAAATTATTTTTAATTTTGTGATTTATTTAATATTTAAAATTAAGTCACATATTTATTAATTTACTAATTAATGAGTGAATTAATAAATAAACGTTATATTTGTGTATCGTTATTTATTTCAATATGTATTAAAAGTTTTTATATATTTATATCGTTTTCACCCAAAGGATACGTGAATAAATATATATTGTTGAAAATACGTTTAATACTGATTATATGCATTTAAACCAATAATAAGCCTCATTAAGTTTATTGCATCCTGTGGGTGTGAAATCATCGCGCTCCAAATAATACGCGCATTTCTCGTGAGCCCATTTCTCTTGGCTGTAAAAGTGCAGTCTGTCAACTGAAACGCAAATAGCCCTTCTGCGTGTATCTGTCTCGACACGTTATCTTCATGTGGGGGTGGGTAGCGTGACCTACGGCAATCCAACTCCACTAAAATCCGTTTATGTGTAACGTTCACCAACGATCGTCGCCCCTGAATGATTGCTCAACATTCATCTCCGCCGCACCGTGAACACATGAGGAGAACGACACCCGTAACGTTCACCAGTGCACTCATTTGGCGGCTTTTAGCGCCAAAGACCGTTTGTTTTGGCATCCCAGGGAAGTGAGTTTTACAACCGCTGTTTTTAAGCCCTTTTAGACAGTCATGTGATTGTAACGTAACCCGACCGGAAAACACCGACGACCATCGCCGCCAATGCTGCGTTTGAGAGGAACAGAGCAGCTGCGAGCCCAACGGACAAGTCCCCCGGTAACAGACAACAACTCACCCAACTCCACACACTCAAGCGGAGGAAAGGTAACGTTAACTTACGTGTGTGTTTACACCCATCAACCTTTATCATTTACCGCTTAATTTCTGTATTTGTTGTTTTTCGTTTAGTTTATTTATTCGGTGACCACCCCTTCCCTCCGTGTGTGTATGTATGTATGTGTGTGTGTGTGTGTGTGTGTGTGTGTGTGTGTGTCCGTTTCACGAAGCTCCGTTTATTTTTGCTTCTCGTGCCTGATGCTCGCTAAGCTCCGTTCTGGGTTTATATCGCTGTTATTGTTGTGAATTTTCAGCTATATTCATGATAAGGTCGTTGGATCATGTGCTGATCGAGCAGGGAGCGTTTGCGCGTTATCGTATCAGTCATCACGTTTCAGTTTTTGACGGTTTATTTTCTATTTGCGAAGAAAAACAGATTGCGGAAGTGGTCGGTCTCTGCGGGAGATCTGTCTGTTCCACGTGTCTCCGTAGTGGGAGGAGCTAGTTTACAAACCCACAATGAGAACAAGTCGAAGCTGTGGCGAATACTTTGGAACTGAAGTTAGACGTGTTATCTCTGTGTGTGTGTGTGTGTGTGTGTGTGTGGAACTGCAAAGCTATATATTTATATTTAGGTACCAGGAAACATAAAATCTGTCATGTCACTGTTTCTACAAATTTCGATGGTTGCTGAATGCTGGGTGACTCAATAAAGCTTCACTCAAGAAGTTTATCTAATTCAAATCGTTTTGCACGAAAGTAATTTAACAGACTTTAATTATATTAGAAATTCTGACATTTCAGTCTACTAGAAAAGGCTGTTTTATTCTACTTCCTTATAGGTGCTGCCCTGTTGACATCACATGACCACATGCAATGAACAGCAGTGGACAACAGTCTTTCTGGAACTAAAAACCCCATGCATTTTTTCTCCATGTGGGAAATTATCTTTAGCAATAACTTATAAATCTCTACTGTGAGCTATGTTTTTTTTTTTTTAAATAATCCTATAAATAAACATCAGGTCAACAACGGAAATACCCACCAATCAGAGAATTGCTTACAGAGAAATACTTAAAGGTGACATAATGAAAATCTGACTTTTCCAGGTTTTAAGTGCTATAATCAGGTCCCGGTGCATCTACCAAACAAGGAAACGTGAAAAAGATTAACCCAGTAACTTTGTTTTGGTAAGCCTTTTTCTGCAAGCGTCTGAGAAAACGAGTGCGTCTGATTTCGCTCCCTTGGTGACGTTGCAAAGGGATCTCATAATATTACCGCCCCTTAATCTGTAAATTTCCACCCACGGCGTCGTCATTTTGATTTCGCAAGCGACAACGGTGTACTAGTTCTAATGCCATGGCGAAAGTTTGAGCAAAACATGCTAACTGTTCTGCCTTTGGCTGCACA